AGCCATCTATTTGAAAGAGAATGAATAGCTTTTTTCCGTCCTGGTATGCGTGTAAGAGACTGGCTTGTCAGTGTAAGCTAACAACACATCGGTCTTTATCTTCCAATAAATTTCTTGTTAATTGCTTTTCTAGAGGGCAAATAGCTTTCACCTAGGCAACAGAAAGTAGGGACCGTGACCTTATCATCGCGCAAACAAACCTTGCTGGTTCTGCATTTAAAGTGGTAAATATTTTTACGAACACTTCCGGTGACTGACTTAATAGAACGTGCTGACCAAAAGGATGAGGTGAAAATGCATCAGCAAAGAATTAAGCCGTGCCCCGCTTTCTTTCTCTCCGTTGTGCGGCATATGTCGTTACGCGTGCCATACGCGTGGGTAATTGAATTTCTCGTGTTCTACCTGTTACGACAGGTTGCCTTGTTTCATTATTATTATCCACATGTTTAAACTCTTTTGACCCGACTGGCTTTCGCTTGCGAGGCAGAGATACGCCAGGGAAAGACGACTAAGGGGGGAATTCGGGCGCGCTAACATTCACATTTCCCCGGTCCCCTTCGAGCGCGTGCCAGGCAGACTGGAGTGACTTAGGACCCGAATCTTCTTGTGCAAAGAATTTGAAAAAACCTAAAACCTTTCTGGAAAAAACTAACATAAAACAAAACTAATGATCCACTAAAACTTTTCAATGGTTACACCTTCTTTTGCTGAGTGAAATTTTATAGAGTGTCATTCCCAGACTAAAACTAACCACATTGTATAGCAAAACGGTACCAGAAGAAAATTTTGTCAAGCTCTCTCTTGAATGCTTTTTAGTTCACAACTGGGGGATTTGAAGACAGCCACTTTGTACAGTAATAGAACCACATGCAACTATAGAAGAAGTGCGAACTAACAATAATTTCATTTTATTTCCCCTTGAATTGTTACATTGGAATACTCCATAAACAAACTCCACAGTGATGCCCACGCATAGCTATATAGTTAAAGGCGTCAATTTGCTTTTGAACAGGTGAAAGCTTTACGTCAAATTTCAATATGAAACCTGTAATACCCGTTACTTTCACCCGAGCACGTGCCGATGTGTTTGTTTACCTTACAACTTGTTCGTTTTTAAAATGATATAAACTTGATATATTTGTCCTGCATGTCCTTGGCGTGAAAAAAAAGATAAAGTTGGAAAGAAAATCTCAAGTACCTTTGTTGAGAGCATGCATCAGATTTAGATACACCCTTATTCGGAACTAAGACATATACAATATTATTAGTCAGGACATCAATTACAGAAACAGCTTCTTTTTTTCTTCATCACAACAAAAAAATGACCGACAACAAAAAAGCAGCCTATATTTTATCCGCTTCGCCGAGGAATCAGTTTAAAAGAGGCAGTTCACATTCGACTTTAATAGCTGAATTCCTCACTGACACACTTCGAAGATTACTTCAAAGACTTTCAAAGGATTAAATAGCCTGCCATTTCTGACAATCCTTTTGCTTTTAATCACTTAATCTATTTTGTTTGTGTGTGTATTTTAACTGAAGTTTTCTTGATTCGCCAACGGTGGTTTTGAATACATAAACTCATACGCGGTACCTGCACCTCAATAGGCAACCTGCACAGACTGCACGTGTTCACCTGGAGCTCTCTTGTTCTCTGTGACACTTTCACCAAGAAGTTAAACAAAATTATTATTATTTTAAAAGATTTTAATACAGTTCTAAGCCTAAAGCAATCACTCACCCCGGCCTCCGGTGGGGTTTGTTCAAACTGAACTTCTGGTAGGTTTTCAAGACTGTTCCTAAACTTAATGCGCGCTTTCCGCCTTAGAGAAATATCTAGGGTTTTAAATACGGGTTGGGCAATTGACTTTATCATTTGAGCAAATACGTTTAAAAAGTTTAATGTGTTGCAAAACGTAAAAAAATAAAATAAAATGAAGTAGACGCTTCCTACCATTACCTTGTACAAAAACTTTGTAATTTTCGCCGACGCTCATTTCAATTAAAAGAAATGCGCCATAAACGAGAGAGGATACCCCCTCTCGCCTAAACAGTCAACCAAATTAAACAAGGTTTCTTAAAACGCTACGGTAGGATGGATTACGGTCGGTCCTGGGGATCGAATCCGTGCCATCTCGCTCTGCGTGCACCGTCTCTTTTTCCAATGCTCAAACATAAGTATAAGCGGAATTTTCCCACCCAGCTCACTACAATCTCTTCCTTATCTGGTTAAAGCCGTCTCTTTTTTTACCCCCAAGGCAATTAGTCTGAAATATGTCTATTTTTTATACCATTAAGTGGAGATACAAGTGTATCGATTTTTATGCCGGATCAAGGCTACTGTTGCCGGTAAAGTTCGGCTCCTGAATAAACCCATCACTTACGCTTCACTGAAGCCGCCTAGCTTTTTGGGGATGAAATCGTGCATGGCGCCGAGTGACCATTGAAATTAAATGAAAGCTACGACTTAGCAATACTTTCCTCTGCTGCTTTTGTAGTACAATGAAGCTTTAATTTTTGAGTTCGTAGACTGATCAATTCTCTGAGTGGTATGGTGGGAATCATTGAAATTAATTGACTTCACCAGCAGTTCTATCATATGATTCCTTTATTATTATTATTATTATTATTATTATTATTATTATTATTATTATTATTATTATTATTATTTGGTTTTAATTTGTTTGTTTTTTTATATTCTGTAAAACGAAACATCGGGCTGTTTAGTATGACGAGAGAAAAGTTTTGTTTTTATTTGTTTTTTTTTTTTTTTTTTTTTATTTTATATATAAGATATTTTTGTGTTCTTTAATTGGAAAAGTAAATATTTTTATATTTTGGCCTTTTTTTTTTTATTCACATGTTTTGTGGGTGGGGCGGGGGGGGGGGGGGGGGGGCGATGTACTCCTGGGAATTCTTGGTGGGAGTGCGCCGCCCGGTTCTCCAAATCCTGACCCTATTTCAGACCAAAAAATGTAATCTTCTGTACCTGTATTCAGACCTCAAAAAATCCATACCCGTTTTCAGACCTGGGCTTTAGGCAGAAGTTATGTTATCATTACTTATATTAGAGCGCAAACAAACAAACTCATCAAATCCATTTCGAATTCGCACATTTCTCTTTGTTTCTTACTCATTTGGAATTGAAACGATAAATACCTTCATACACTTCCGTAGTTCCCCCGAAAACCATACCCGATTCCAGACCAAAACGGGCAAAGTGTATACCCGTTTTCAGACCAAAACGGCGCAAAACCCCTACCCGATGGGGCCGCACATACCTATATAGCTTATATAAGGGAGTACACCCCCGGTATTAGCAGCACTTGGAGATATAAAATTCTCCCAGAGGTAATTGTTTAAATCCTTTGATATTGTCCGAATTCAAATGACCCTTTACCCTACGAATATCAACGACAACGTTTCTTTAATAAAAACTCGTGTTCCGCGTGGGGTATCAAAAAAACTATGACCATGAAACGATATTAAAATGCTTCTGTAACTGAAGTAGTGTCTTGTGTGCTTTCAACATGTTGAAAGAAATAAAGAAAACAGATTTAAGTGGATTTCAATTTAGCCGGACTTTCTCGAAAGTTGTGAAAGTTTTTTAGTAAAATTTGAAAATTAAATTAAAGGAATTATTTAATCCAAACACAATTATCCAAGTAAAATTTAATTCTCTCAGTAGAAATTTAATTAATATCGGGTTTACTGCGGTGAGTTCGGGCCCTTAAAAAAATAGTACGGTTGTGTTTCGCTTTAAAAGGAATCGCTTCAAACAAAATACTATTGTTTTCATGGCATATTAACTTGTAAGCGTCAGGCAACTGCATTTGCCTTTCTTTCTTTTTGTAACTGATTTTGAGTTCACGGTAAATAGTTATATAATTAAAAAAGAAAACGTTTACCTAATGGCGTGCTTTGAACAAAATGTTTCAATCGTGCATGAATAGTGTCAATCTGTCGCGAAGTACGCTGCTTTTTATAACAAGTCAAACAGTTTGTCCTTCCGTTTTGGGAACACGATGTAGAACAGTGTGCCAGGATAGTAAGGATAATGTCATGAATCAAGCAAAGCTTCAATAGAGAAATTTTACTAGTTGGCCAAGTTGACTAAAGGCAAGATTCCCTAAAGTTTGGTGTAAACAGCAGTAATAATTCTGTGCTAAATGGTCGAACTGTGTAAGAGCACTTGCTTAAATTGGCGACGGCCTCGAGGTTTCATGGAGTGAACGTGATTTGTGACTTCAGCGTTACCAAACTTTCGAATAACATAAATATCAATCCAGGAAACTACGACGAACAAAACTGAATCTATTGTAAATATAATTTTAAGCTCTAACACACCAATGCGAAGCATTCACAATACTTCCTCGGGGTGAAATAACCTTACCGAGCGTAGAAGAAAATGAATGTGTGATTCTTAATTTGTACGGCTTTCATTATTTAAAACAAAAAGCAAGTTCTGATCACTGGCTTTTGTTTCAACTATTCTATTGAATAGTCCGATGATTATCTTTGCAGTCTGTTCAGAGGAAAATTAATTAAGAGCTTTTTAAAAGCTCATAATTAAGAGTTCTTATCTCCTTCCCTCAGTCCCAGCCACACGGGAGATAATAACAATAATAGTAATAATAATGTTAATAATCATTAATATTGCTATAATTAAACAGATCACTTTTTGAAACAAAAAGGCATTTTTTCCCTTATAAAGAAACCAAGCGCTTATGTAAATGAATGCGTCTCTTTATTTCATTTATTATGTATCCTTTTTATTAAGGATTAAAAGTGCGCCCTATCAGCTGCAAAAATATATGATTTCATATCTTTTTTGTGTTCTTTTCTATTGACACACGTATGTACAAAAACTCGTGGTAACTCCATAATATCTCTGTTATTTACATATTTCAATCCGATCAGTACAAGAGTATAAAATTTATTTCGTTTTGAGGCGAACGTAGTCCTCATTGGATAATTCTTGTCGTGGAGGTTTGAGTCGAAGTGATATTTCATTTCTACCACGGTCTCCAAAGCGCCGAGCTTGACCCAGGTGTGCTAAGTTTGGTTTCGTGCGATGACATAAATACATTATTTCTTGACGTATTGGGAGATAAGGATACCATATCTCGTGTCAGACTTGTCGATGCGGGCAACATGGGTGATGCATGAAGCGGTGAAGGAGGAGGAGACGGAAACGGAATCATAACAGGCTGTAAAGGTGTCATGTACTGCAGAGATTCTGGATTGAACAAAGGTACAGAAGTTACGGTTGTGCTTGCTTTGTTGCCCAGGCAACGAGATGCGAGTTGTGCTAAGAAGTTTGCCTGAAGCTGCTCGCAAGTTTCAGGTGACGTCATTTTTCTGGTGAGTTGAGAGGCACATTGCACATAGCTTGCTCTGCATTCTGAGCTACTGGAAAAGTCTGAAATAAAACAGCGTGTCAATTAGTTTATGGTGGAATAAATGTCGTTATTCACTTGCTGAGGTCAATACGAGATTTTAAAACTTTGTTAGTCTGTCATACTCATGACTGACTCAATAGACGGAATTAAACGTGTAATTGTTTGACCCCCCACGCAAAGGTCCTGCAGCTATCGATTGTTGAACTGATTCAGTGCTGTGAACTCCGCGATAAATTGGTCGTACAGTTTGGAAGCTAACTGCTTCGCTATGGTAAAAAAAAAAAAAAAAAAAAAAACGAGTGGCGTGGTTCTCTTTTGGCCAAATATTGCCTATGTATTATAAACGCCTAGTTGATATAAATTTTTGAAACATTTGTGATACGTGTGGATTAGTGAAATAATAAATATCATCAAACTGATAACATTGTTTTTTCTTATAATACCTTGATGTTCTCTTCTTTTTAATTCTCGCAAATAGTGCACTGTCATTTCCAACACGTCAGCTTTCTCCATCTTGGAATATCTTGAAGCCTAAATGTTACATGGAAAAATAATTGTTAATAAATATTCTCAAATCACAACCTGCCTTGGTTAATTCTCCTCATTATTACAAAAATTCTCCTACAACATTGATGTTAATACTACGTACATCCTTATTGAGCGCCTCTAATATAAGGGATTTCAGTTCATTGAGGCTGTCATTAATGCGTGCTCGTCTCATCTTTTCCATGAGTGGTTTTTTTGCCTGAAAAACAATGAAACTGCCGATTAATACCCTTCTACGATGGAGAATATAAATCAAGGTAAATAATAACAATATTTTGATTTTAAAAAAGAGTTTTCACTTAGTGAACCGTAACAGCACAGGGCTTACCTTTCGTTTTTCGGTCAGAATTTTGCTGACGTAGTCAGATTGTTGGTTACAGTAGTTCGTAGTCGCCATATTGTATATCGATTAAATTTGAGTGAACTTGTGAGTTGTGTACTGATTGAGCTGGAGCTGCGTGTGGCGGTCGTGTGCCAAGGATCCACGTTTTATGGCCTCCGTCGTGGGAAAATTCTTTTGGCCTTGTGTCATTGATCACAAATATTTACCTTCGCATTTACAAACACAATCACTATAACAGCTGAGAACAATGCGGCTGACCTTGTGAATAGATAGGTCGTGGGAACGCTCTACTCTGATTGGTCAAAAGCTCAATTCGCGCGACAAACCCCAAGAACAAAGCTACTTCGTCGCCAACGGCGTGTGACGACCGTGAGACCGCTAAAACCTGATTGGCTAATGACACCGCAAGAGCCTATGCCAAATCAAGCACAAAAAGACACGACAGCATACACAAGAGCTAAACAAAGGATTTACAATTGAAGTGCCTCGATGAAAAGCCAAGAGAGGCCAAACAGTTTTGCAGCGGAAAGGCGTCTCGTCTGCCGCTTGAATTTGACACAAGGTGATTTGGCTGAAACTTATCGCATTGAGGCGTTGATACTGTGACAGGTTTTTAATGGTTTTCCTGCCGGGTGTTTAGTGTCTAATTTACACCAGTATACGTTATTTAAATGAAGAGTTGGTTTATGCGCTCCGCTCGCGCGCTAGCTCGAGCGTAGAAATCAACATCCCACGTGTGAAATTTATCCGCTCCTTTCAAATGCTTCGGAAGCCTTTGTCATTCTTTTCATTGGATCTTGGATTGTCTCGATTTAAGAAGTGAATTCGTGGTTTTCACGGCGGATTTCAATTACAATAAGCCTTAAATCTTTCCCACGGTCGACGAATAAAGAACATTTTTTCACTGTCTGCCGATTATTGTTTGTAGACGTTGGAGTTTTGTTATGCAAAAACAGGCTTAAGTGAAAATACAATGATGACATGTTATAGCAAGCTCTATGGTGCAATGAAAGGCTCTGTGACCCTCTGTGGATGCTGATAAGCACAAAAATAAAAGGATTTGAAGTGCCACTGAGAAAGATAGTTTGCCGTTGTTTGCAAAACCCTATTTGTGCTAATAAAGAAAAAAATAACCAGTTTCATCTCTTTTTCTTTCAGTACAGTATTTATTGTTATTCTGTAAGTTCACGGATGCCTTGCAGAAATGTACTTGCATTAACATTTGAAATGATTGTCACGTAGAAGAATTTATGCACGGATAGACGTTTTTCTAAAACTTTGTCGGTAGAATATTTAAAATAGCTTTCACATGGGTCCTTTAAGTCCGCACAGATTGTTTTACAACAATTAGTACAATATTCAAGCAAGTGAAAATGACACATGGAAAATACATTTCTGCTTGGAAAGCAGTCTTATTCAACAATTTTTATTTTGATAGGCCACATCAGAGCTAAATCAGTGAAGAAAGAAAAAAAAACCACGACGGAAAGTGAAAGCTGTCGGTGTTCCGACAGAGTAAATAATAGATGTAGCTCATTTAATTGTGTAATGAGACTTCCTTTTTGTTCCCTTACTGGTGGGTTTACAGTGGTTACAGACTTCTGGAGGTTTATAAACGGTACGATACAATGAGACCGGCTATTCAGTTGACACCAATTCGCTAAATGAATAATTTAGTATGTCCAACGGTATTTTCCAAAATAAACGGCCGGTAAGGATAAATTTATTTATGGTTGACCTGTTCTCTAACAACGCACGGAATCACTGTGAAGCAAATGGTGCCTAGAAAACTGACGACCTCCATCAGGAAGGTATGTGCCTCCCCGGGGTGCCTCCCATGAAAGCGGTAGAGTTTTCGAGCCTGTTTTGGTCTGACAACAGGTATAGATTTTGCTCATGTGGGAACAAAATCAGGTATGGTTTTCAAGGGAACCACGAGAGGGTGATACGTATTTGTCTTTGGTCTGAAATAGGGTCAGCATTTGGAGAACTGAAAGGCACAACCACACCAAGCTACCCGTCCCCCCCCCCCCCCCCCCCCCCCCCTCAGGGAGGGGTATGCCCCCCCCCGGGGCGCCCCCAGGAAAGGGGGGGATTTTTGGGCGCGTGTTTGTGTGAAAAAAGGGGTAAGATTTGTCTCTTTGGGGAAAAAAAAAAGGTTTTGTTTTCAAGGGACCACCGAGGGGGGGAAAGGTTTTTTTTTTTGGTTTGAAAAAGGGGGGGCATTTGGGAAACTAAAAGGCCCAACACCCCCAACCCCCCCCCCCCCCCCCCCCCCCCCCGCCCGGCCGTGACTTTAACTTGGTACTAATGGCATGTAGTTCTAACGTTTGAGTCTGTTGATGAATTAAAAGCCCATCAGTGTGACCATTCAAATGAGACCCCTTTGGCAGTACCATCACATGATAGTACTATTTGTTTTTCAGCATTTCGCACGCGTTATTTTTGTAAATTTGTTTTTTGCCAATTTGATATAAGGAGTGTTTGGTATTACACCTGACCTGCAGCACGTGCCGCTGCATGCTGGGAAGAAACTAAGGACACCAAGGGTCTGTCAAAGTAAATCAAATTCACTTCAAAAGGCATTTATGACGGCTAGATAATCTTATTAGCCTTGTACTGTCCAATGACCACCAGAATAGCCGCTAAGCTTATTAGGTAGTACTGTGCTGATTCTGTGAAGGTACCACACGCGTCCACGTGTCTAGTAAACTATGATACAAACTGATCAAACTGATAATGGACTGCCTATCTGATCAGATGCTGTCTCAGTTCATAGCGTGTTTAGTAAACAATTCGCTCAGTACCCGGAAAGTGGCAGGATCGAGAAGGGATGGGGAAACAGTCTTAAGGTGGGGCTTCGATGAAGGCGATATTTTACAAACATTGCTAAGGAGCAGAACTGTGCAAGTGACCAAGAATGTGTCTGAATCGGTAGCTAGCGGGCCAGTTTCAAGATACCTAACAAACTCCCCCCAAAAAATGCGTGCGAAGGTTCCCTCTTCTTCCTAGCCTGTTCCAGGCGTTCAGTGTTTCCTCTCATTATCTAAACGCTTGGACACAGGCCATTCTCCAGCTGTCTCATTCGTTGCTCAGTATGAACTTGGCGGATGCATGGGACGGTTTCAAAAAACGTGATTTTAGCATGCAGTATCTGTTGCCAGAAAAATATGCCAGGACAAAACATCGGCAAACAGCCATGATCCCGTATTACATCTATCATCCGCGAATCGAGTACAATAAGATTTAAAGTACTCTTCGTGATTTTTGCCTCAAGTTTGTTGAGGTGTCGCGAGGTAGCGCATTGTTTTCTATTCTCTCCTCCCTCAGACTTGGCCGCCTTTGCATTTACGACAATCAGCACCGACAGAAAAAGTGCCGAAAAACTAAGTATCAGGTTTTTTAGCTTGAAAAGGTCACTATGACTCCAAGGTTCCGAAATGTCAAATATTGAACGTAAGGTGTAAAACTTTTTAAAAGCGCTCTTTCGACACCTTAAAAGCCAAACATAAACCACAAGGGACTCCTTCGTCGTTTGTTAGCTATTTGAGAGTTGGTTAGACACCTTCTCTGAAATACTGAAATCAAGAAACCTCAACTGAAAACATGTTGTTTGATGTATGCCAAAAAATTGTGTACGCCGTATGATATCACCGACAGACTTCAAAGTTAGAACGGTAATTATTTTTAGACGTCTCAGAATCTTGAGTAAAGAGCCTCAAAGGCCATCATGATGAACCATGGCCATCAACCTCGAATCAACGCCTTCCTATAAAAGGTATATTCTAGTCGTGCCCTTTTATTGCTGGTGGCGCTCTCCAG